AGCATGTGCCCAATAAGTACTCATCAAATGAACAAGCAAATGGTAACCCTTAGGATATAGGATACCTATGTTTTGGAAAACTCTACTAGGATTTTTTCCAACTCCTTGATTGATTCTCACATGTGGGGGTATAAGTGAGAAGACCATCTACCATTTTTTGATGATGATATAGGATAGGAGAAACGATGACCACCTGCTTACAATGATCCTTTCCTCCATCCTACATCTCAATGTAATTTGAAGTTCAGGGGAAAAACTCTCCTGCCCTAAGGAACATACTTCCACTTTACTGGGTCACACAGTGGTAGAATGTAAATCTTCATCAGTCCTAGTTTGAGTCAAGCAGCAGGATTCCAAAAGAGATACATGTGGCATCTTTTGGATCTTCACTGCATTAGCTGATATCCTCTGGTTCAGTTACCTTGCCTTTGTGCCTTTGACTGGGGGGCAGAGGTAGAGAGTAGGGTGAAGAGGACATTAAATGTAAGGGGGGTCTCCTAAGTCCTGAGATGCTGGGGTATGTTATCATTTTGGGGGATACTTCTCCATGTTATAGGTAAACAGGCTCATAGAACTGACCTGACACCCACAGTAACACAGTTAGGATGTGAGGGAGATGTTTTTTTTTTTTTTCTTTTTTCCAAAGGGGACTTGTGGTAGACCCTATTCTCAGAAGAAAAGGTCAGCCTGGACTTGTGGTAGACCCTATTCTCAGAAGAAAAGGTCAGCCTGGAAGGACTGACTTCCCAGAAAGGCCAAGACTGAGCACTGAAGCTAACTAGCCTCAGAGAAAATGAAGTTGGAATGTTGTCCTGATCATTTAGTGCTTGCCTGTCAAGTCTGTTTGGAAATAACCACATAGCTGCAGTCACGAGGTTTCATTCTGGACTGATTTTGCCTCAGAAGGGAAAGCCACCCCCTGAGTGAAGGGAGCCAGGCCTCTGGAACCTGCCCATGGAGGAGCTGGCTGGTTTCCTACTGCACCTGGGCAGTTTTTAACAGAGACTTCAAAGCAAGTCAATTCTTCCCTTGGCATACTGGATATTGTGCATCCAGTATGCGATCCAGTGACCAGACTGAAAGTCAAGCACTCTGGACACTGATCTTGGCAGTCTTTGGGACATTTTGGCCAAGTCATTCCCCCCTCCCCCAAACTGTTCTTATTCAGGAGTGGGGGGAGGCGTAGGGTTCTGACCGAGGGAGGGCTCAGTGGGACCTGGTGACATTATGAGCCATCTCCCCACCTGTGGGGCAAGGGACGCTGATGGCAGCCGAGGTGAGAGGGAGGAGACAGCCCCTCTGGACACATGGTTCCCGCAGCAGATGGTGAAGGGCCCTGGTCAAATCAGCAAGGAAGCACATTATTTCTTACAACAAAACAGAAGAAATCAAAATGTACAAACCCTTGTCATGCCCTTGGACAAAGAGCATCAAGTTCTCTTCATTAAGGCTGCTGCTTACCCAGAAAATCACCACCAATGACGTGGTCTAAATGGGATGGTCTGGTTCAGGTGGGAGCCCAGAAAGAGCAGGGGTCTGTCACTCAAGCTCAGGGTTAGAGCAGCTCAAGGGAAGTGAAATGTCCAGCAACCTGGTACTGAACCCCCTTCCAGTCTGGGGAACCCCTTCCAAGTGAGTTTTAGCATGAGGGTGAAGCTACACTCAACAGCTGGAGTGCCCGTGAGTGGCTCTCCCTGGGGTATTGAGTCCCTGGCAGTGAGGCCTCAACTTAGCCAGTAAGAGGCTCCCACCAGACTCCAGAACAGGAGGTAGGACCACTGAGCCCACCTACATGCCAGGTTCTTCCTGGGCCTATCCTAGCCTGTGTTCCCGGCCCTCAGGCTATGTGCTTCCTCTCCTACCTGCAGCCTGGTTCCCCATTTTGGGCGGTTCTGAGGGCTGCTGGAGAGCCCTCGACCCTCCTGCTTCTGAAAGAGGAGACAGAGCAGTCCTCAGGCTTGGCCCTAAGGCTCAAACAGGTGCACCCGTCACACAGGCTTCCTGACTCACTTGTGGTGGACAAGCTTACCGTATGTTACACTACTTTAACAGGTCAAGACAAGGATAATAAATTGCTAGTAACTTATGTAAGTTTCTCATCATGAGGTGTTTGGGGTGGCAGCTCACAGTAGCAGAACTGATTCTGTAAACTCTTGGTTTGCCCCAGGGGAGCCTCAAGCCTCCTTTGCTGATAACTCTCCCTGAAGGTGAGAAAGGTTGGGGTGAAGGGAGAGGAAATTCAGCACATTATGGACAGCTGGCAACTAACACAGCTTGCAACTCCACAGGACTCACCTGGGGCTTCAGGTTTGTGTGGGTAAGAAGCCAGGTAACCCTGGTGTGGTTGTGTTGGACGTATGTTACACCCCACCCAGGAAGCTCCCAGATCTACTTATCAGTAAGTGGGACGAATGGCTCAAGAATCTATTACATAGACTCAGGTGTTCATTTAGGTGCTTGGAAGGTCTTCTTATCATGGCGTGTAAATAAAAGCTTTAAAGAATCATAGGAAAATTATTTGATTTTTCTACCAGTTCAATTTACCAGTTACGTATACTTTCATATTAAAAATCAGATTGTGGCCCTCCCTGGTGGCGCAGCGGGTTAAAACACAGCACTGAGAAGCTAAAGCAACTTTCGCATGAGTTCGCTTCCCGCCTGCCCCGAAGGTGACCACATGGCGTGGCAGACCTCTCCGGACCCCTACTTCGTCGATCTGCCTGTTCTCCTCCCCACTCTGTCTCTGGTGAAGCCTCTTGCCGCCCCTGAGCCTGTACCCCAGTTCTGTATGCACAAATAAATAAATCTTTAAAAAAAAAAATCAGATTGTTTCTCTTCTCGCCCATGTCCTACTCAATACCAGTACATTTCCTGTTCATTCCAAGGCTATAAAAATTTGGTGCCTAATCTAAATTATTGTGAAATTTTGCCTGATTTAAATTTGGTGGCTAGCCTCTATGGAAATTTCCCCTCAGATGGATGGCTGACAGGGAGCCAGGCATTAGAAGAATCATACCAGGAAGAACATATTTGTTCTAAAAAGGCAAACCTTCCTACTCAGAAAAGATTTTTGTTTTTCATGCCAGGAAAGTTGAGACCAGACTAGAGAACTTCATCTTAGCTCCAGGACTGAAAAGCAAAGTCATGGAAAGGAGGAGGGGAAGGGGCCCTGTGGGGTCGCCGGGGTGCCGCTTTTTTCTTGGAAGTACTAAAAAGAAATCAGCTGAAATGAAAGCTTCTTCCAGAGAACTCTTGATAATGAAAACATCACCACATTGTTCAACATGGAACAGTCACTCATGGAAGTGGCATTTTGGGGTTGCATAGATGACTCAGAACCCCAAAACAGAATGTTAAGCAACCTCATCCTGGATCCCACAGCTCAAGCCTCTAATTGAAGGCAATGTGCCCGTGATCTTATTTTTCAACAACTCAAAGGACTCCATCTGTAGAGAACCTGGTGGTTATTCCCATTAGCCCTTAACTGGGAACACTGTGGCCTAACCAGAACATTCCGAAGCCTCACTCCCATAGAGCAGGTCTTTCATTCTATAGGACTTTTTATTTTATCATTTATTTATTTACTAATTTATTTCAACTGAGCTAATATTAGGGCACCCCAGCATCAGGATATGGTACTGTCACCTGCCACGGAATCACCCGCAGCCACCTCCCCTGCTCATCCCTGCAGTCCACTGTGCTCCGTCCCCTCTTCACTCCACTATCCCCCACTCTGCAGCTTCAGTTCTGCAGTCAGCTTTCAAGAGTTCCCAGAGCTAAGACAGCGAGCACCAAGTCAGCATTCTCCTTCTCTTCCCAAGCAAAGGTCTGAACTAGCAGTGAAATGGTCAAAGACACGGAGCAAAAGGGCAAAAGCCTTATTACAAAGATCAGACCCGTGAGAAAACTGAGCCTGAGTAGCAGAGGACCCCAGAATCATTTCACGTCATCCCAATGTTTGTTTCTATCATTACCTCCTGGAACCACTTCCGCAAGCACACAGAAGAGTAACGTTCTCTTCTGACGGCCCCACCTTAACCCTCCGACCTCTGCGTGGCTTCACATTATTCTGCGCTCACTGAGGTCATCCCTGTTTTCCACCAAGAGGACTGAGATTTCATTGTGGTCCCTGGGGATTCCTGTTCTCTGTGGAACTCCTCCAAGGAGGGTCCCAGGGGTGTGCTTCAGTCTGATCCCTCCCTTAACAATCAGACATGCACTACCTCTGTTATAAAATGTTTTTCTTTGTAAGAAAATCATCTTTATGAATTTATAGTTTTCAGAAATTTGCCCCAGCATCACTGACTCTTCCAAGAGAGGGTAAGGGCTTCCAAGAGAGGAGATGACAAGGTAGCAGTAAGCCAGCTCAGAGGCGACTGTCTCTCTGCGTAGGAGCTGCCGTGGCCATCAGAGGGTGAGTTCCCACCAAGGCCCGTCCCTGCCCCCCAAAACAAAGGCAGTAAAATTCCAATGCCATGTTTTTCCTTCAGTTCCTTCCACACCCCACCCCTGCCGAGCCTCTTGGCTGCCACACCGTCTGGTGTCTCTGACGACAAGGAGGTAAGAAGAGAAAACAGGAGAAGGATCTAGGTCTCAGCAATGTGGATGTGCCTCTTTAAGTTATTCTAGTAACTTGTCTTTAAAACACCCAGCGTTCATCCATTGAGCAACATGATTGGGAAGGCTAGTGAAAAGTCTGAGAAAGATAAAAATAGTCTTGGCTTCAGCGTGAAGCCCAAGCCCTGTCAGGGGTTCGTTCAGCTCTTTTCCCTTCACCGACCATAGCTGGGAGCTTTCATATGGTGATGACATCCTGGAGAAGAGTGCTAGCTCATGGCAAACCACAGTTCTCCACGGGGACCTGGAAGCCTCAGGCGTGAGTCGACCCTGGAGCCAGCATCGAAGCTCCAGGCCAAATGTACCTACCCACCAACTCCAGCACCAAGTCCCTCAAGCCACCCAGATGGCCCTCTGAAGGGGCATCTGAGTGGCCGACTCACCGTCATCTCCTCTGGGTTCCCATCGGCCGTCTCCACCACCCTCAGGGTTGGGTCTGCCCTTATCTTGGCGTGGGTCATGAACTGGATGACAGAGGAGCTGTCCTGTGGAGGAGGCAACACACTTCACTGTAAGGTTGTTCACGACCCATGGCTAGGCCTCTGACCCCAGCGCAGAGCTGAAACACCAAGATTCCATGTGGACCAGACAAAACTTTTCTTGCTGAACTAGACACCTCCCCAACCCAGGCACCCCATAAACACAGACTTTCAGTCTCCCTCTAGAGAGTTCTTTCGTAGCATGGCCAATGCGGAGGAGCTCCTGTCAGTTGTCCCCACACACCAGTGTGAGCACTGTAGTCTCCAAGTGGGAAGAGCCAGATATGTGGATATTGATATTGACATATTCACAACGAGGAGAGAATAAATAAAGCTGTCTAATTGTGAACAACAAATCTAGTCCTGGCACGGTAGGAGGCATCTGATTTACATTTCTCAAACATCTTCCTTCCCTGACCACAACCCTCAAACCCGACACACGAGCTACTTTTTAACTCTTTCTTTGCTCCTCAGTGAAGCTGTGATGGTGCCAAAGCCGCTACACACAAGAGCCTTTCTCTTTAGATGGAGACACGAGAAGTGGGGAAGCCTGGGGTTATAATTTCAGCTGTGGCCTGAGCAGAAAGGGGGCTGGGGTGGAGCTGGGCACATCACAGACTCAGCGAGGCCCACCAGCCAGACTTGGGAGACGCTTTGGTGTGGTCTCAAGGTCAAAGCCACTGATCAAGATAATGAGAAATGACTCCAAGGCAGGGATGGAGAAGGAATTTGGAAAGAGACAGGGGTTGGCAAAACTGTGCTTTAGGGTAGGGCTGGAGGTTTGAGCCAGCAGTGAGGAGGAGGCAGCGCTGACCATGGGGAGAGGCAGCGGCTTCTATGGTAGAAACAGGGAAGCTACTGGAGTGGGGACACAGGCAGCGTCCGGCCTCGGGGCTGCCAGTACTACGGCAAGGTGGCCTCAGGGCCCCCACCCACATCTACTCTGCTAGCCCACCCCACAAAGAGGCACATACTCAGATGCCACCTTTCACCTATTTCTGGCTAAACCTACCCCTAAATATGCAAGTGGAGGGCTGTCTATAAAAGCCAGTTCCCAGGAGGCCCTTTGCTCATCTCTCCAAAGAAACCATCTGACCTTCCTGGGACAGCCTACGGGATCCTGCTTTGTAAAAGTCACTGTGATTTTTGCATTAAGTATCGTTCTTTTAACAAACAGCACTAAAACATTCAACATGCTTCTGGGAAGCTTGGCACTACAGGAACTGCTCCTGTTAACTAAGAAGAAACAGTAAATACTACTGTATGTAAATGATCTCAGGGCATTCTGTGTTTTCTATCTTGGGTCACCATCGTCTTGGATATGAATAATGATGATCATGATAATAATTAGAAAGCTAAAGACAGGGTACTTGAGGAGCTTCTGCAGGACGGGGCCCTGTGGGTTGTAGTCTTCTGTGAAAGAAATTGGAATCCTCTGAGAATGAAAAAAACATCAGTTTCCATATTGCAAATGAAAATTTGCTAAGATCAGAACAAATTAATTCCCTTGTCTGGGACCAGACCTTGAGGTCAAAAGAAAAGAAGCACAACTGTAGGCCCAAGCATACCACAAGGCTGGTGCTGGTGGACCCCACAGGAAGGTGTTTGCAGCCGGCTCCCGCTCTACTCCTGAGGGAGTCGTGGAGTTTGCAACCAGCACCCCACACTTCCAGCTCTGGGAGGTGCTGGGGCCCTATCTGACTTCCAGGTCAACCTCATTCTAGGTTTTCCTCTATACCTAGAATTTCTGCCGGTTTCTCTTGAAAGGGTATTTTCAGGGAGAATGACCCTTTTACACCCACAGTAATACCCTATAACTTTCTGTTCTCTTGGGGTGCAGGCTGGGCTACCTGGCCAGTGAAGACAGTAATCAGTGGGACATGTTCGTAGGAAAAGGGGTCACCACTGGTCACTGAGAGACAGAGATGAAGAAGACTAGTTCACAGAGGTAGACGCAAGGCAGGCTTGTACCCTGCAACTAAATTAATTGCAAAACAGTGTCAGCCCTCTGGGCTGAGGCTGAGCAGGAGCAGGGCCATCATCAGGTGTCTCAACAAGGGCAAGTGATTTTGAATTATGGAGTGAATTGTAGGTCAAGGTTCATTTATTTCTGCATGTGAACATCCAATTGTCCCAATATACTTTGGAGGAAAGACAACAAACACCTTCCCACTGAATGACCTTTGCAACTTGTTAAGAATTAACTGGCTGTTTTTGTGTGCATTTGTTGTTCGGCTCTATTCTACTTCATTCATTATGTCTGTCCTACTCACATCACACCATTTTTCTTTTTTTAGTAATTTTAAAATTACTAAATCTATTAACTTTGTCTTTTTCCAACTGGTTTTGGTTATTGTAGTTCATTTTCCTTTCCTTGTACATTTTAGAATCAGGTAGCCTACATTTACAAAAAAATTTCTGAAATTTTTGATTGGGGTCCCATGAAATCTACATATCAATTCATGAAGAATGAATACTGTAACTATGTTGTGACTTCAATTACTATGATGCCTTAAGTGGGTTTTTTTTTTTTTTTGATTCATCAGTATTTTGTAGTTTTCAAATTTTGCATATGTCTTCTTTTGGCTTTTGGAACCCAAATTCCAATAGGAGGGAAGGGTTTTCCCTCTCCACTAACAAAAAGCCAGCTCACCATTTGAGTGTCCAAGAATTCAACTCAATTCTAATACCATCTATAAGAGATAGCATCAGGTTCTACAGGTTGAGGATTCAATCCTACAAGAATTTTCCCACCCCTACCCATCCCTGGCTTCAGAAACACGCCACAGTTTGGTTAACCTAGGTGGTTACCCCGCATTCTGACATATTGACTATAGATCCCTACACATTCCCTCCTCCTTGGATTTCAGACTCCACTTGCAAGTTCAGGTTGTAATCTAAACTCCTGATGAAATGAGTATGAGTTAGAGGTTTCTCGACCCCCTTCTCAGGTTCAATTATTTGTTATAATGCTTTGATTGCTATAGCTTTGCATAGTTTCAAGTCTGGGAGTGTGGCATCTTCATTCTTTCTTGGTCAAAATTGCTTTTGGTTATTCAGGGTTCCATATAAATTTCCGTAGTGTTTGCTGTTACTTTGAAGACTGCCATTGAGACTTTGATAGGAATTACGTTGATTCTGTATGTTGCTTTGGGTAAGGTCATTTTCACATGGCATGGGGCATAAAGTTATCCCAGGGCTCTCTGTCAAGAAGATGAACCTGGGTGGGTAAGACTGCAGAATCAGAGTCCTTCAACTTGTCCTGAGAACCCCTGCCAAGAAGGGACTTCCTGTGATGTGGAGCTTCCAGACTCCCTTTTGGAATTACAGGATGGGCAGAGGTGTCTAAGTTGAGTCTGGTCCCCTCTCCTTTTGCAAAGAACAGGAGCAGCAGGGAAGCACTGCTGTGTGAGCCCAACTTGTCCCAGATCAGTTACCCTCCAGAGGAAACCAGAGAAAGCAATACTCCATATCCTCAAGGGGGATGGGGCAACACCAGCTACAGATGGAAAGTAGGTAAAACACCCCATCCCCTAAAGTATGCCTCTTTTCAGGACAGTACGCCTAATTGAAAAAAAATAATGTTGTAATGACTTTTCTCTCCATACATCGATGAGCTTATACAGACACACACATTTCATCTTTCCAAAGGAAAATAAACAGAATCTTTGTGGCTACTGTATTTTATCTTCACATGTGATTTTTTGGTAAAGTATCTTGTTGGCCGTGGTCTCTCATACTGAACAGCTCTTACGCAAAAAACCAATCATCGTGGATTTTTAGGGTTTTAAAATGGCCACCAATGCACTGACTGAGGTATTTTTATGAACTGCTTGATAAAACTCATAAGAGTAAAATGACCCTCCATTCAAACTTTGAACTACTCTTAAACAAGGTGTCACCTAAACCACAGATCGGCAAAACTGCAATAAAGTTTTGTAAATAACATTTTATTGGGACACAACCATGTTCATTCATTTGAGTATATTCTTTTGAATTTATGTTCGCTGCACATTTGTCTGTGGCTGCTTTCGCAATGCAAGAGCAGAACTGAGCAGAGACTACAAAACGCATGGCCTGTGGCACCTAAAGCATTTCCTAGTGTCCCTTTACAAAAAGCATTTTGCCAATCCCTGATTTGGGACCCTCCCGCCCCCCAGATCACCAGTATAGCACCACCTGGGAACTTATCCAGAATGCAGATGCTCAGACTTCACCCCCACGAATCTGTGTTTCAACGAGGTGTCCAGGTGATTCTGATGCAAGTTAAAGTCCGAGGACATAAATGTGCAAACAAAACACCCGGAGAGCTTGTTAAAATGAAGATGCTTATTCAGAAAGTCTAGGGTGCAGTCCAAGATTCTACATTCCTAACAAGCTCTGAGGTGAAGCTGATGCTGCTGGTTCTCATGCCACATGCTGAACAGCGAGCGTCTGGGATGTCCCCCTGGCATCCCTTCAGCAGCAGTTACCAAAGGCACTTGCCAGCAAAGTTTTAAAATGAGTAGACACAGCTTCACAAGGAAACCAACTCAAAGTTGGCCTGTAAGCCCTCTAGAGTGCAGTTCTTCAGGACTTACCTTCTTCAAAATTTCTGTGTTGAGCAGCATGTAAATGTCTATAGTTCGACTTTCCTCTTTAGCGAGCGCACTAAGGTTACAGTGCATTGTTAGACATGGTATTCTTGGTTTGTCACAATCCTTAGAAGAAAAATCAGAGAAATGTCAAACAGTATTTAGGATAGATGAGTCTCTGCTCTGGAGATGAAAAATGCAATCATTCATTCTCACCACCAGAGGGCAATGGAAAGATTTCGCCACCAGTGGTTATCAGAAACGTTTCTTTTACTTAAGCAAGTTGTAGGAGGCAACTCATTGGTTTATCTTGGCCCAAAATTGGATATCACAAAGAGGAAGTATTATTATTACTTTAAAGATTTATTTATTTAAGCATACAGGACTGGAGTGCAGGCCAGAGGTGCAGGGGTGGTGAGAGGATTCACTAGAGATAAGAGTGGGG